TTTCACTCAACGCTTCGTAGGTTGACTGATGGATACACCGTTTCATAGATTCATACATTCCGTCCTGTACCGATAATACTTTGGTAGTCAGTCGCACTTGATATAAAAACATTGTAGCATCTTCTTCCAGACTTTCAAGATTATACCTTGTTGCTGAAATTACTCTCATCGCGATAATTTTGATTATATGGCTCTCGACAAGGTTTTTTAATGGAAAGTACATCAGATAACAAGTCTTAATAGCCTGAATAGCATTCTAGAACCCTCTTCACTCGTACATCGTTGACTTTTAATTTATTGCCGTGTTTCACAATAATATAGTGGATAATGGTCCTCAAGTTCCGAGTATGTTGAATCCATCAGTGGCGGCTCTGAGAATAAAGAAAAGGAAGGTAGTAGACACAAAGTAGCAGGGTCAAATAAAGTTAGGCATATGAAAACTTGTTATATTTGGATTGTTTAAGTCACATAAGTAATATTTACAATCAAATTATCTCCGAATTCTGGACCTATAAAAAATAAGGTGTCACAGAACCTATAAATTAAATTTAGTCTTCTGTTTTTATATTCTGCAAATTTATCAATTACTAATTCATTAAAATTAACCGAGTCTCGTAACAAAATTCTTTCTAATGATAATATACAAAGGGTATCCAATCTCTCTTCCGACAAGGTATTTCATAAAAATGTCTTTACTCTTTTCTAAGTGGAAATAGCTCTCTCGGATTTTAGTTGTCATTGGAGTTGAACAAATTAAGTTTAACTGATTCAGAAAACACATCCAATAAGTTATTAACTAACACTTCCAAAAGTGGTAAAATTCCTTCGGCACAGCCCTAGTCACTCATTTTATACAGCACATTCAGCTCAGTTTGCTAGCTTGCTTCCACAAACGGATAGAATTGTAAAACGTGATCAACCTTTTGTTGGGGGAAATTTTTCTGGTATTGTTGGAAAATTTTACACTCAAAGAGAGAACACGAGCTCAAATGCCCCGTAAAATTAAGGCGGTCATTTACCCCTGTGATAATTACATCACATACTTCATGAGATACCATTCTACAGGCCTCCCCCCTTCTTTTACCTTCACATGTTTTCTCAATATATTTTTCCCTGACACGGTGGATTTTCTCGTATCTTTTGAATGTTCTTCTTGAACTCATTTACATTATCATTAACTTGCAAAGAATCGACTCCCCTCTTTTGGATCTGGTTACATAAAATTTCAACACGAGGCATCACTTTGCTAAAAACATCTTAAGCCAAAATAGTCCTCTTTCAAAAAATTCAGCAATCCTACTGCGTTTCTTATTGTATCAATTACCTCCTCAAAACATTGAATTAGATCATCTTTGTGAGCACAAACAATTGTCTTGCTCTGAAAAGACTAACGAGTATTTGGACCTTGGGGGAAGCGTCTTTTTACTACATTGTTTGACACAGTCATTCGTGTGGATGAACGTGAAAAAAACCAGCAAATTCTTAAAAACTAGAAACGTCTATTTTGTTTTGGGAAGTACATTTTGCACCAATTAAATTTAACTGGTGAGCGTAGCAGTGAACAAAGTGTACAAAAAGATTTTTTTCTTTTCTTTTTCAAAATAGCTTGCACACCATTAGCCTTCCCCGACATCACTGATGCTCCATCATAACTCTGACCTATTAATTTGTAATATAATGACGAGGATAGGTGTGATTAGGAAACAAGGATCATAATGGTGTAACGGGTCGATGTAGTCCGCTTTGTCTGGCTCCTCTGCTGAGACCTACACCGCATGGGTGACCCCACCAGTAACACGCTATTCACTAGCCGTGCAACCGCAGCAGGAGCCCTCAGCTTCATTGGAGTACTCAAACCTCCCGCCCGCACGGACAGTGCTATTTTGAGGCGGCGTCCCCTGGGAGAGGGGGAAAAGGTTACTTTGGTTTAATTAGTAATAACACGTAAACATAATAATCATAATTTTAATGTATTTATTATCTATTTAACAATTAATTACATCATGCTTAGAAGCTACTACGTTGCAATGGTAGTTGACAATTGTGAAAAAGAAAATGTATTCCCACGTAATTGTTAAACTTTTAACTGTGACCTGATGGTAAAAAGTATAATGTTTAAATTAGTAGTGCTACAGCAGCACATATTTTCTCGCATTAGTAATAGTTAGGTAATAATCTTAGTTTCACATCAGTACATTCAGCGATCGCTTATAAAACTCATTAACTATCATAGCGTATTGCATATGAAAACTAATTATTTTTGCAGCTAATAGTACATCAACACAAATTTCACAATCTAAAACTGCCTTCCATAACCCAGAAACATTGCCCAAGAATGAGAAAGTATTCTGAGAATTTCAAACTATTACGGCGTTGCCACAATAGTATTGCCACTTGTTATTTCGTGACTCTTCCGCAATAAGAAAGCGTGGGAAGTCTGATTTGCAATTTTGAAGATTGGCAAAATTACGGGAAACCACTATTTTCAACAAATCTGCAATATCTTATTTAAAGGTCTAATTTGGAAGAAAAAAATTAAGTAAAAAATCTCTAACTTCGATGTATAAATTTTGCGAGGTAAGTTTTTAGCATTTTTCTAAAATACAATGTTCGCCAAAAGTGGGACCAGCACCTTTTTTTACAGCCTTCTGCCACAGACAAGGAAAAAATTTAAGAAACAATTGGAGCAGTTTTTGAGGAAATAATTGTTCACAAATTGCCTGTATTTCATACAAAATTACGAGAAAACTCACACTTTAGGAAAATTGTTATTGGCCGCAATTCCAGATGTTTTTGATGGACAAATTTCATTAAGGAAAAATCTTTTATCTTCAATATTGTAGTTGGAGGAAAACGCCGAAAAAAGTTTTAACTTTTACAATTTTGGGAAAGTCATTCAACGAAAAAAGCTCTCTTCGCCATTCTTTACCCGGCTTCTGCTCTATCCATGGGGTATAATTAGCAATACTAGGAGTTACAACAACAAGTACTTTCTCACATTAGCAACGGTTTCCTAAAATTATACAGCAATTTCAGCCCATATTAACACATCTTAGTAATAACTTGAACTTCAATCGAAACGTATCAGGTGCGAAACTGTCCCATACACCCAGAAACACCTCCAAACTGAGACGTTCTGAAAATGTCAAACTGTCCTGACGCGGCATTCCCAATGCATTGCAAAGTGATAGCTCCTAAACGATTCTAGAAAAAGGAGTGCGGGATACTTGAAATTGCAAATTCAAAAATTATAAAATTAAGTTAAACTATTAACATTTTTAAAAATTGTACATCATCTTATTTTAAAGAACTAATTTTTTACAACAAATATCATTTAACAAAAAAATCTCTAGTCTCCTATTATATTTTTGCAATTTCCGGAAATTTTTAGTTTGCCGAAAACGGGAGCAGCACCATTTTCTTTACCGCTTTCTGCTACACACGAGGAGCGGAAATTTAAATTGGCGCGGTCTTTGAGAAAATGTTTCATTAAAAATTGCATCAACCTCAAGTAGAAATTACGAGAAAACCATTCGATTGTACACGACCTTCTTTAAAGAGCTAATTTTTACTTTCTCGCCAGCAGCTACGGCGGTAGAGAGAAAGTGATGTAATACTGGGCGTAAAAACGGCAATATTTCGACAGAAAAACTATCACAGGGCCCTGGTAACGAAAAAAGTGGATAAAGTGGATAGTGTTCACAGAGAGACGGACGTTTTGAGAAAACAACTATTTCGGTATCAGGGGACCCCAAAACGTGTATTTCCGTTGAAAATTCGAAATCAATTTTCCACACCATTACATAGCTTCCCTTTATAAATTAAGTATATTAGTCCGTATATACGCACGTATACAAATTAGATCCATTTTGGGGGAAATTTAGAAAATGTGAAAAGGGCTTCATGTAAAGAACCCCCAAAAATTAATATATGTTTTTCAAAATCGCATAGCTTTGACTCGGGCCAGATCGACATGGGTTTCTTAAACTTGGGGAAAACCCTACGTGTGGTTTAGGCGCTAGCGTTGTTCACAAACGCCAGACGGACGGACAGTTGTCCTGCCATCAATCGATTTTTCGGAATCACGGTCCAACAAAACACTGATTCTGGCGACACCACGTGTTAGAGGGTTCTCTTTTCCGTACTTAGCAACAAGATTTATCTAGTTTTTCGTAATCAGAGCGCGGTAATAAGGTTTCCTTCCGCAAATACGCCGTTTTTTCCGCAGCATTACACAGCGTAAGCGGTAGCAAAAAGGAAAAAAAAATCCAAATTTCACTTTGATTTGCAACTTTTTATAGTTTCTCACTTAAATATATGCTTCTATTTTGAATATTTTGCAGTATTTTATAATCTTGCATATTATATATATATATTATATAATTAAATATAATATATGTATAATATTGTAATTTTTATAATATTTTGTAATATTTTGGAAAACTGTTTGAAGTAATTTTCAAGAAATTTCAACCTTCAGTTAATTGATAAGTGGTTAATTTTAATGAAATTAAAAATACGAAATTAGGCTTAAAAGAATTTCAAAATTATGTAATCAAAATGGTCAGGTTTTCACTTTCGAACAATTTGAATGGGACGACTGGTTAGTGATAATATTCAAAATAATCCATTTCCGGTAAAGGTGTTATCATTATCACTGCTAAAAGATAAATACTGAAAATGAAATTAATATATGCCAGGTATAATGCAATATACATTTTATATATCAAAATTAGGTCATTACCTATTTTCAGTATGTCATTTATTTGAAAGAATGAGTCAAAATATTCATTCAAACATTCTTGTTAGATAAATGTGAGGTAAATTGAGACCCAAATATTGAAAATTCATTACCGGGTGGGATAAATTTTGTTATAATTTCACATTTTTTACGAAGAAAGTAATTAAAATTTTCTAAAAGAAAATGATCAACAGAAATGTGTCTTAAGATTAATTTTTTGGGGGGCTACTACAACATTATATACACAACACAAAGCAGCCTAAGATGATTGTTCTAATATGGTGACACACTCCTTATTTCCATGACGCCGGGCAACCTCACGTGCAGTCCAGCCACTCTGACACACGATTGCCTTGTCTGCTCCATTGCGCAGCAACTCTCGCACGCATTCCACGTGTCCTTCTCTCGCTGAGTAAAACAGAGCAGTGTTTCCCGACATGTCAGTTGCATTCACTTCAGCTCCATATTCCAGGAGTACTTTGATGCAGTCAGCATGACCTTTCGCTGCAGCTAGTGTTAGAGCCAGATCACAATGAGGCGACTTTCCAAGTTTGCAGGCTTGCAGCAGCGCCCGCAAGCAAGAAGACTGGCCATATTCAGCAGCAATAGTTACAGCGCTTTTATCATCTCCACCAAAAGGTTTTTGGCACACACCGAGTTGAAGGAGGGCGTCTACCGTACTCACACGGCCATTTTGCGTACTATTACACAGCGCCCTTTCGCCAGCTGGCCCCAGGACTAAGTCGTAATCTCTGTTTGCAATGCGCCATACGACGTCTGCACTACCAGCCACCAAAAGGCAACGCTCTAAGATTTTACCATCTACTCTCCTAGATACTTCCAGAAGATCTTGCACCAAATCCCCGTCACCAATCTCTGAAGCCAGCAGCAGAGGGAACTTCCCCCCGGCGTCCCTCGCGAGAGGCGTCGCACCCACATCCAGGAGGCATTTGACCATATCACGATACCGCATCCTAACAGCAGTGAAAAGCGGGGTTTCCTTTTGGTTGTCAACGGCATTGACGTCAACTCCATTCTTCACCAAGAGCGCCACCACCTCCGGGTTCCTTCCTTTCACCGCGTACACCATCAGCGACCTTCCTCCGTTGTCCACCACCTCCGTGGACTCTCCGTACTCGATGAGCCAGCGCACGACGGCGGCGTGGCCCTTGGCGGCGGCCAGGGCTGCCGGGACGGCCCCGTCCGAGTCCTTCGCGTTCAGCGCCGCGCCGTGGGCCGCCAGGCGCTTCACGACCGCCACGTGACCGCACAAGGCCGCGAAGTGGATGGGCCGCCGCGCGCCGGGCCCCACCTGGTCCACGGGGCAGCCGCACGACAGCAGCGCCTCCACCGCCTCGGCGTGGCCCCACTCCGCGGCAACGTGCAGCGCCATGTAGCCCTCGGGGTCGCGCGCGTCCGCCCGCGCCCCGCCGGCCAGCAACCGCCGGAGCGCCGCCGCGTCGCCCGCCGCCGCCGCCTCGTGCAGCGTCGCCCGCGCGGGGGAGGGTGCGGACGGGGCAGCGGCGTGTTCCTCCGTCGCGGAGGCAGTGGTAAAGGCATGGCCGCTGGAGATAGACGCATTGTCGGCCCCTTTACCGGTCACCGGAGAAGATGGTACTGAAATAATTAATAATGACAATAAGAGACTGCCGTAGATAGAGTTAGGAAATGCGGATACCACTGAAACTTACCGGCTTGGGAAAAAAAAAAAAAAAAAAAAAAAAAAAAAAAAAAAAAAAAAAAAAAAAACCCTGCAAAATCTCTAACTAGTGGGGTATCGCGCAAAGTGAAACAGAGTAAAGTAGACGCCATGCAACAAGTTGAAGTCTAGAACCTGCGCCACTTATATAATCGGACTTTTCATTATTTGAGGGGGAAAATTTAATTAGCTAACCGAGGCCACTTCAATTAACTACACTACAAAGTGCAAACCAAAAAAAGCACAAGCGTTAAATGCCAAAGTGATTGCCTACTCGTGATCGCCTCTCCACGCTGTTTTATTTACTCTGCTTCGTCCTCCGCGTGCAATCCGTTACCTGCGGTCGCAGCACGGGGCGGCTGGTAGCGGACCAGCAGCTCGTCCACCGTGGACCTCACGGCTGCCACGGCCCGGGCCACGCTCTCCTCCACCGCGCCCACCCGCGCCTCCAACTGCGCGAGGCCGCAGCGCCGCGCCGCCTCCTCCTCCTCCTCTTGCTGCTCCCGCGCGGCCTCCAGGCGAGCCACCCGCGCCTCCAGGTCGCGGCGCCGGCCGCTCTCCTCCTCTAGGTGCTGCAGCAGCGCCTCCATCCACGCGTGCCCCCCCGCCGCCAGCGACGGACCTTCGGCGCTCGACATCCCTGCGGAACACCGCATCTTCAGACTCGACACCCGCTGGGTAGGCCGTGCTCAGGAACAAAAAAGGAGAGGCTTATGAATGGAATCCCTTTGCATGCCCTACCGAACACCACTCCTTTAGATCCGACAACCCTTGGGCCAGCCATGCTCTTCAGGAATAGCGGCGGAGTTTCTGAACGGAATCCCATCATCATCCCTGAGGAACAACAGTCGCTTCGATTCGACTCTGTTGGCATGGCAATGCTTGCAAGGAACTTTTAGGAGGAGCTCCTAAACCAACCGTGCGAAAAACCACGTCTTTAGATTGCCGGCCATTGGGCCGATTGTGGTCGTGAGGAATAGAGAAGCCGCCCACGAATGGAATCCCTTTGCACTTCCTGCCAAGCACCACTCCTTTACATCCCATACTCCTTGAGCTAACAGTGTTCTTCAGGAATAGCGGCGGAGCTTCTGAACAATCCTATCACCATCTGTAGCGTCACGGCTTGGCAGCAGCCGAGTGCAAGGTAGAGGGCTGGGGGATCTAAAGATAGAACAAAGAAGGGACCTTCCGACAGGAAATGGTCCGCGGGCCAGGCAGCGCCAGGGAAAGGCTTTCCACCGCGCGGGGGTGGGGAGTAGTGACGTAGGAGGTCAGGTGACATGGACCTATAAAGACGCCGTGGCGAGACGGCGCGAATGGGTAACGTTTCGGTTTCCTCGTGGCTAGACCACAAAAACTTTGTCCGCCCAGGCTGGTGCGGAGTGCCGAGGGCACGTGGTTGTTCGACGAGTTCGGACAGGGTGATGTGTTCTTCAAACACATTCGGGCAGATCGTCAATCTGCCGGGGCACACTAGGTGCCAATCTACGACGCGGCCTTGCCGGCTGGTCGTAGGCGTCGCCGCAAGGCGCATGTAGGGAGAGGAGGGCTGCAGTGGTAGCTCTGGCAAACCGCCTTAGAGTGAGGGTTGTAAATATGTACAGTATGTAAATAAAACTTGTATATACTCACTCGTGTCTGTTTCCTTGTGGTGTAGATCCCTACACACGACGTTACACATCACTGAGGAACACCGCACTTTTAGACTCGTCACCCTTTCGATAGCCGTGCACGTCAAGGAGAGAGAAGAATCCGATGAATTGAATCCCTTCGTGTTTTCTACCAGAAACTACACCTTTCGATCCGACAAGCAAAGTTTTTTGGACTATCGAAGGTTGTAAGGAATAGCGGAGGAGCTCCTGAACAAAATCACATCACCACCCTTGCGGCACACGGCACCTTTGGTTATTAAAATTTATTGAAATACGGGTTCTTTGTTCACGTCGACCAAATGCGACGTAAAAACGACGGACGCAAGAGCTTTGGTAGATTTCGACAGCGCCGTATAGCCGGCCATCTCACACTTTCCGCCAGCCCCTCTCCTTCTTTGTAAGTCTACGGTCAAGGCACTCGGCGCCCGCCGGGATCCAATCCCCTCTGTTTACAAAGGGCGAGTGCCTGTGAAAAAGGCAGCTGAACCCTCCACCCATACTTCGCACTCATCTTCCCGTCGAATTTGGCGATGATTAACTTACTGTAGTGGAAAGTTTTGGGTCACCGACGACGACAAAGTACGCAGCGAAGACATTTTCAAAAAATGGTTCCATTGTTTTTGATTAAATTTTGTTGTTTAGTAGTGTGAAGGACGTTTAAGACAATGTTGCAGGACTCATCTTCGAAGAAAACCAATTTTTCGAAAATTGCCAAAAATATTTTGAATTTTTGAAATTTTCAATTTCCTACAACTACAATTTTGAAGATAAGAGATTATTCCCTTAATGAAATCTGTTCCTTAAAGATATATTTTAGAGTATAATCATGTTCGATTTTTCGAAAATTAGAGGATTTTTCGCGCAATTTTGAGTAAAAGAACGTGATGCTTTAGCAATAGTTGTTACAATCACTCAAAATTAATTTCTGCACTAATGTGAAATAATCACAGAAGCAACCACAATTCATTATGTAGAACTATTATGTAACAGTGATAATGATTTTTAATTCTTTCAGAAGTTTTACAATACATTTTTTAAGAGGCTGGAGGATAAACTAATAAATAATTTATACAAACAAAAATACTTTATGATTTTTTTCTCAGCGCCAAATTCAAAATTTTTTAAATTATTGTTTTGTACATTCAAGAAAAACTCAAAACTTCCTCTCAAAACACAGGCTGTTGTGAATTTTTTTTATTTTCTTGATTACTGGGACAAGGTTTTTCGAAAATTGCAAACAAATTTAACTACAAAATTGAAGATAGAGATTTTTGCTTAGGACAAAGTCTGTTGTACAACATTAGCTCTTTAAAAAAGGCCATGTACATTTTTTTGCATTTTTTTGTGACTGCCTGCAACCACACCACAATTAGAGAAAATGAAAGTTTTCTAAAATTGAGATTTTTTCCTTGAAATGATATTTGTTGTCCATAATTAGTCCTTGATACCAAAAAATTGATTTCCGGCAAATCGTTCGTCCCTCTGGAATAAGTGAAATTTTCTGAAAATGGCTGTAATTTTTTTCTTTAAATTTCTTGCCAGAATGGAGTAAAATACTTATCAAGGACGCATAATTCCAATTTTTACTGATAACTAAATTTTTGAAAATTGGAAAAGTCTGAATTGTTTTCGGCGTCTTCTTACAACTAGAATATTGAAGATAGAGATTTTTCCTTCAATTAAAATTTGTTCTTCATATTTAGTTCTTTCATTGTCCATCGCCAAGTCATTTCTACTTTAATTGTCATGAACGTCTTTAGTATACAACAAATGAAATAAATACAAATTGTTTCTACTGTGCTATAATTTTCACTTCTTGCATTTACAAGGGGGGGGGCGTTATCGCAAGTGTTACGTAATTATTTTGGGTGGTTCAAGAGCCCGTTACGGGTGCGTGACAAGGGGGAGACAGTGTATTGAAAAATATTTCAAATTTGCGTTACGTAATTTATGGACATCCTCTAATGCCGCGGAAAATCAATTTCAAAATTTCAACAGTTTTTCAACACGTTTTGGGGTCCCGTGATCCCGAAAAAGTGTTTTTTTTTTAAATTCCGTCAGTCTGTGAACAACACTACTATAACTCTATCAGTCAAAAAAAAAAAAAAAAAAAAAAAAAACATTTCACTGCACATACCCAAAAGTGACCTCTCCTTCCAAAGATACAAACACTTCTCCGCCTGCCAGCGCATTGTCACAACATAGCTCTCCCTGTCTTTCGTAGGTCGCGCAGTAATTCAACACTGCGAGTTTGGCGATAACAAACTCTTGAGTGAGAAGGATCAGACGAAAGTCAGCATACGTGTTTCTACAGTTGAGTTGTCCAAATAATCAACAGAAAATAAGGCGTCTCTTGAAGAAGGGTTTCAGTAATATGTTAATGTAACGGACCCACACGATGAATTCGTCATTTCTTTGGACACCCCTGGCGGTGCGAGACGATGAGGAGGGCAGTGATGATGAGTGACGGTTGGCGCGGTCGCTGCATCTCGCAGCCGCCTCCGCGCTTCCTTATCACCGAGAAGGGAAATCTCAGCTGCCGCAGGGTGTGGGAAGCCACCGAAACTTCAAGGGAACGTCCGCCATGATGGCTTTTTTGCGAGCGGTACAGCTGTAGCACCTAAACCATGCGTATGAGTTTTCCCAAATTGAAGGAATTCCTGCCCATTTGACTCGAGTCGAAGCTTTGAGATTTTTAAAAACATTCTTTAAAATTTGGGGGTTGAAGCCTCAGAGACGTTTTCAAAATTTTCTAAAAATGACTCCAATTTTTTTCTTTAAATTTCTTGTAACAAAAGAGTAAAATACGCTTATAAAGGTGGCATATGTTCTCTTTTCAGAGATAAATCTAAATATTCAAAATTGCAAAAGTTTGATTTTTTTGTCGTCTTCCTACAACTAGAAAATTGAAGATAGAGATTTTTCCTTTAAATGATATGTTGTCCATAATTATTTCTTTCATTAAGGTCTTATACTTTTTTCTAAAAACTTTTGGTATTTTTACGCAATATTACGTGCAATTTTAAAGAATTCCAAAATCAAGATTTTCTCAAAAAAGACTCCAAGTATTTTCTTAATACTTGTGGTAGGGGTAGTCCTAAATGCACACTATAAGATGCCATAAAGACTATGCTCGATTCTTTTGTTGTTATTTTAATTACAAAAACGAAATTTTTGTAATTAAAATAACAATAATAATTTTCTGGACTTTTTCACGTCGTTGATCTTTAATTAGCGGTACTTTGTTCATATTGTTGTATTTACAAGTACATGTGCTTTAATTAATGCCACAGTTTCTCGAAAACATAAATTTTCTGATAAAATGAGCTCAAAATTCTGCTTTCTCAGAAACCCCTCAAACGTCATTTTCTCAAAAATGGCACAAATTTTCTTCTTCTAACTTTTCCAACGGATAGCGCTAATTACACTGTTTATTGTGACAAAGTTCATTTTGCTCATTCTTTTGTTTTTCAAAAAATACACCGATATTTTCTTAAACATCTCTCACGTCTTTAATATGTACATTTCCAGCGATTTCTTAACTACTGCATTTGAGACTGCTTGTACTTGAAATCACTTTATATGACTTTTTCGAAAACTGGCCATTTTTCTATGAAAAGAGGTTCAATTTTTACATTGACTGTAACGCTTAAACACCATTTTCTTAAAAACAGCTCCAAATTTTACAATGAAAATTGTCATTTAGGACAAGGTTTTACTCTTCTTTAATATTATTAAAGTAATAATTCGGTTCGGCTTCTTTTAAAAAACAAAAAAATTTACAAAGTTTCAAAGTGTACTTTGGGCTGCGATAGATGGCTGCTGGCAAGAGGAAGGGGCAAGTCTGAATAATTAGCCCAGAGCAAAGAAAATAGAAAACTAATACTAGAAATACTGACTAAAAAAGAAATACTGAAGTCCGAAAGTCTGTGCCATTCTGTAGCACTATTAGTTTACTACTAATATTATTACGTTCGTAGAAATGATACAATTACGTGCAAAGTTATTTCAGTTTTGAGTTACGA